CCTTCAGCTGGTTGGATCTTCCCATACAGCCCCCTCCGCAAAGCACTCCTAATTTATACTCTGCTGAGAATGGTAACTAGACAAAATCAAATTAAGAAAGCTCCATTTGTATGTAGTAAGAGAAAAACCAGACATATTTCCCAAGAGAATGAGTAGGGATTTTCAACCTGCCTCTTGAACACTCTGCTGAGTTGCGGTGGGCAGAGACATGCAATGGGTATCCCTGCTTGAGTAGGACCATGAGACTCGATGATCTCTAGGGATCCTTTCCAACCTCAACCATTGTGTGATTCTGTTATTCTGTGATTTAGTCTGTGAATATAATTTTATTTAATATCCATTCGGGAAATTAAAAACCTGTGAAAGAGCAGCTATTGTGTAACTGGTTAAACTTGGGTTACTTGTATGAATGAGAAACTGATCTGTAAAAATAAATATTTCATTATAAGCCATGGTGTTGTGTTCACTTCAGCACATTCAGGGCATGCAGAAAGGATGATGACAGTAAGTATCTTCTTGATATTAACCCTATTAATGTTAAACAAAAAGAAAAGTTATTAACAGCTTAGCAAGATATGTGTAAGAAGTAAAGACAACGATATAAATGCAGTGATGTTTTGAATTTTTTTGAAATTCTTTAAGGCACTGTTGTTGGGCTATGCCTATTACTGAAGCAATGCAAAAAAGAAGTTTAGATAGCACTGTTATGAACAGAATCAAATAACGAGTTGAAATCTTTGCTGAACATTGCTGAATTTGATCAGCATTATGAGTAATTCTGGACAGTTTCCAGAAAAATGGGTCATAGAGATCCAAAGAGGTCAACAAACAGAAACTTCAGGTATTCTCTTTCATATAATGTATATCTACTTGGAAAGGAGTTAGCAATATAAGTAATGCTGGTGTTTTATTTAAATAGCCATAGATTGTCGAGCAGTTATAAAATGAAAAGAGCCTATTTAGCAGTTGAAAATGTYTTGTAAAGTAACTTTGTCCTGCTTTTTTCCCATTTCCCTTTATTAGTCGAGCTGGGATAAGTTTTCAGAGTATCAGTGTCTCCATCTTCTCTTTAAAACAAGGGTAACACTGTGCTGCATAGAACTTTGCACTAATTTTTACACCGTGGTTTAATTTTGCTTTGGAAAGAATCCTTTTATAGTCACATAAAGATTTTTAAAGCTAACTTGCTGGCGTCTTTTATTGCGAGCGCTGTATTGAATGGGCCCTAGCTGATGCTCCCCCGGCTTCCAGGCAACCCGTGAAGTGATTCTGCACGTTGCTCTATTTGCAGAGTCCAAAATGCCTTATTACAGGACACGTTTCCTGTTACAACCAACGGGCAAAGCTGTGCTGCTTTTCTTCCTCCACTCTGTTCATTCCTGCTTACATTTCTGCTCCTCTYCCACACCAGTTCTCTCTACCCAACGTCATGACCACATCAGAAGCAGGAGATGTGGTGCAGGGATGAGGCTTAAGACCCCCTCAAAATGAGCTCTCAAATGACTCCTGCAGTTGCCTGCTGGCCTAAAGCAGGATCTCTGCCCGCTTTCCTCAGCCCCACCAGGACAACATAGGAGAGGGGCAATCCTACATCCTCCAAGTCATGCTTAGTTGCAAAAGAAAAGTGTGAGTCTTCTCCTCCGGGCTTCAGAGTTATCTTTGTGCCTCAGTGTCTGGCAGTGCACTTGTCCCCTGAACGCTGAGCTGGACCTAAACATTGCCCTGGGCGTGACAACAGGCAGCCTGTCTGCCCTGCAGAACAAAGTTCAGCAAGAGCCAAGTGTCCCTAGCACCCCCGGTTTCCCCTAGGGCTTTGCTTCAGCCCCAGTTTTATGCCTGTGCTTGGCTTCCCCCAGCCCCATGCTGTCTACCCCACCTGGGGCCCAGGACCCTGTTAGGGGAGCAGGAGGGGGCTGTGAGGGACACTCTCTGTGTGACCTGGCCCCAGCCGCTGCAGTGTCAGCGGCTGGTACGAATCTGTGCCTGGAGCTGCCACGCAGGGGAGGAGCGTGTGGAAAAGGGGGATGTAACACAGAGCAGAGGGAGAAAACACTCTCCGCGAGGAGGAAGAGCAGGGCAGTGGCTCCAAGGGGGAGCCCGGAAGTGTCTCTGCCAAGATCTTCTCCTGCGTGATGCTATTCTTGTAAAAGGCCAGATAGGGAGGAGCCCTATTTCCTTATTACTGAGGCATGACTTGAAATGATTTTCAGTTCCTGAAGAATAAAATAGCTATATTTATTTTGAGGGCAAAGGCAAGAAAAGAAGGTTTCGGTTGCCTGAGAGACATGAGCCAAACCACAAGATATTTTCTACCCTTACAGAGGTCAGTGTAAGGGAACAGATGCAGGGCACAAAACGGCTGAGCCCGGGTGTTGGTTCTTTTCTAGAGCTTTGATGAATGAAGTAAACATCAAGTGCAGAATTCCTCTGTGGAGCCAGTGCAAGGCAGCCTGGTAAAACGCATGTGCTTCWGGGTATCTTTGTTGTTGTTGTTTGTTCGTGGGTTTCCCCTCCTCCTCCAGCCTTCAGCTAGCTGAACTGAGGCCAAGGCGTGAGGAGGAAGAGGAAGCTTTTGAATGCAGCAGTAGCCTGGGAAAGGAATCTGGACTCAGAGCCAAGAAGCGGGAAGAAATAGGTCAGACGATGCCAACACCA